TAGCGACCCTGTATAGTGTGTCCAAGGAGCAGCTGGTGAGTTTGAACTGCTGATCTTGTGGTTCAAACCGACCTTTCAGTCCAGTACTTTATCCCACAGCGCCACACCCCCTTAAAATATCAGTTTTCACTATGGAAAAGGAGTTAGTCCCATTCTCCTCTTTGTTTGATCTGACTGAAATATTAAGTCTTCCCATCATTCTTGACAGGGATCTCCTAAGAATTTATAGTCAGGCGTTTGCAAATTATGGTCTGGGAAACAATTATTGACGCTAATGCATGATTTTGTAAATAAAATTTTATTGGAACACAAGTCACGCCTACTTGTTTATGCATTATCTATGGTTGCTTTTATGTTACAATTGCAAAACTGAGTAGTTGTAACAGATGGTAACATGAAAAACCCCAACTATTTGCTATCTAACCTTTTGGAGAAAAAAGTTTTCTGACCTCATGCATTTTATTTCTTTCTATCTGTCTCAACGCAGAACTTTGGTGGAAGTTCAGAGCTACTTATGTACTATGGAGCTCCTATCTGATGGGCACTGTGCTGAGCCTATTTCACATGCATTATTCCACATACAAAACACACACACACACACACAAACCCATTGCCTTTTAGTTGATTCTGACTCATAGCAACCATATTATTGTTGTTAAGTACCATCGAGTTGGTTCTGACTCATACCCACGCAAAACAGGGTTTCCAGGAAGTGGCCGGTGAGTTTGAACTGCCAACCTTATGGTCAGTATTCTAGTGATTATCCTACAGTACCAATCCTATGGAAGTCAAAATACCATTATCTCCATTTTTACAGAGGTGGAAACTGAGAATTAGAAACATTTACTAACTCATTCAAGGTTGTATAGCAAAAGGAGGGTTTTCAAGCCCTGCATTTGGAAGCTAAGCCACAATACAACGTTGCTGAATGGGCATGCATAGATGAGTGTTGCAGTCACATTCTTGGCTTAATGAGGCTCTTGGAATACTGCTCTAACTTCTCAAATAGAGAAGGAACCAGTTCCATTCTCAATAGAAGGTGGAGGAATTTACTAGTGAAAAGAACATGGTATGTAATGTTAATGACTAGTTATGATGCCTTTGACTCATGCGTCTAGTGATTCAGAACACTTTGGATTGTACTTTAAATTGGCCCAAAAAGACAGGACATTATAAACTAGAAATCACCTCATTGATCCAACCCTACACTACCAATCAGAAAATCAAATTCAGGGATAACAAATTGGGAGGATGATGATATGACCAGTGACAGGCATTTCCCTTCTGGTGAATGATCACTATCTAAATATGTCCGTTAGTTCTAGGCTTACCAGAAAACATTAGGAAAAGCAAGCGGAGAATAATTTAATGATTTAGACATCTTCTTTCTCCACAATCATCCCAATAGTAGCTTCATGATATATGTTTATGTTCATGATAGATCTCTATCAGGAATCCTTTCCTGGTTCCTCCTACATAATATCTGGTGTGGCTTAATTATCTTTCATGTCACAACATTGCCCGTTGTCTTCTTTGAGATCACCTCACCTTTTTGTACCAGCTATTGTACCAGCATTCTGTCCTTTCTACAGGGATCCACCTGTGAAACACAAATCAAAGACCCGTGCAAATGAGTACCTCTGTTGCTTGGGCTGCCCAAGGGACTATTGATGGGCAAGTTCATTCATTCATTCATTCATTCATTCATATTGACAAACAATATGAAGGACTTCAAAAAGTTCAAGGAAAATTTCCATTATCTTTTCATTGCACTTCTCCATGAACTTTTTGAAGTCCATTTTATATAATAGTGCTAGCCTGAGCCATGGGTTCTTGTTGTTGCTAAGTGTCATCCAGTGGGTTTCGACTTGTACCTACCCTGTATAGGGTTTCTGAGGAGTGGCTGGTGGATTTGAACAGCTGACCTTGCATTTAGTAGTCTACTGTTTATCCTAGAGGACCACCTGAGCCATGGGTATAGAACAGTAAATAAGGCTAATTCTGTCTCATTTTGGTCCTCATAGTTTATATTCTATTAAAGCATACAGATTACTACACAAATGTAAATGAAAATTTAAATTCTTGTGTGATTATTACAAAAATATGGGAAAATACAAGGAAAGAAAATGATAAGTAGGACTGGCTATTAATTTCCAGAGTCCTGGGCAAAATGAAAATGCAGGGCCCATGATCAAAAATTCTTAAGATTTTCTAGATGGTAACAGCAGAGCATTGAACCAAGTTCACACCCATGAAACCAGTCCTGGAGTTAGGAAAGGCTTCCAGAAGAAAGTGCTGACCAAACTGTGACCTGAGAGTCCAGCAGGAGTTAGGGCAGTGAATGCAGAGAAAGAATATTCTAATCCACTGCACAGTGAGGATGAAGGCCAGATGCAAGAACAGAATAACTAGAATTTACTAATTAATCATTCCAGCCTCCAAAATCCTATACAGAGTCGTTATGAGTTGGAATTGGCTCAATGGCACACAACCAATTACAATCAATCTATTAATAAAGACTGGGAATACCTACTATCTAATTCATCATTCTGAAATACATGAGAAGTGTAGGGCAAGTTATTCCTGAAAATTTATTTTGCATAGAAATCATTTCAATTCAATTGAAAACTTGTATTCAGTATCCATGGTGAAAGGTACTACACTGAACAGTATAAGAAGTATTAGGTTAAATAAAGCAATCTGTACTTATAAGGAATTTGTAACCTAGTGATATCAGCAGGGTAAACAAGTTGGAACATAATGAAAGAAAGCGACAGATAAGCACTATGAAAAGCTATAGGTTCTGAAAGTG